CGACATTCAAAACTTAACAGCACAGGTCTCTCTGACAAGGGATAAAGGTGGTATTCATGAAATGCGAGACAGAATTTCGTCTCATTATTCATTCTTGTTCCTATTACAGCATGAATCTGTGTGAGTAGGGACGGAACTAGGAGAGGCACACACTCTGCTACTATGTTACATTACAGCTCCAGCCTCACTTACTTTTAAGGATTATTTTTTGATACAGGGTTTCTCTGTGCAACAGTCCTGGATGTCCTGAAACTCAATTCGTAGACCAGGCTGGCCTGGAACTCACAGAGATCCACCTGCCTCTGCTGATTCCCCAAATGCTGTTTTTTGTTTGTTTTTTAAATAAAACGTTTATTTTATTTTAGGATTTTTGAAACAAGGTTTCTCCGTAGCTTTTGGTTCCTGTCCTGAAACTAGCTTTTGTAGACCAGGCTGGCCTTGAACTCATAGATATCCGCCTGCCTCTGCCTCCCAAGGCATGACCACCACCTATGCCTTTAATCCCAGTGCTCGAGAGGCAGAGGCTGGAGCATCTCTGTGAGTTCCAGGACAGGCTCCAAAGCTACACAGAAAAACTATGTCTGGAAAAGCCAAAAAAAAAAAAAAAGAAAGAAAAAGAAAAAAAGAAAAAAAGTTTATTGATTCTTTGGCAGAACTTGGTGTATTGTTACTGTATTGCAATCATCTTCCTTCATCAGTAGTAATGAGTCTATTCTCATGGCACTGTTGATATGCAAGCTCCTTTAATATGCTTAGAAAAGCTGCATTCAAGAAGGTGTGGGTGCATACACCTTTAATCACAGCACTCAGGAGAAACAGAGGCGGATCTCTGAGTTTAAACCCAGCCTGGTCTACAAAGCAAGTTCAGGACAAGCAGGCCTGTTACACAGAGAAACCCTGTCTTGGAAAAACAAAAACAAAAACAAAGCAAAAGAAAAAAAAAGGAAAATCAAAAGAAAAAAAAAGCTCTATTTACACAGTCCCCTCTTCATTTACACTGTCTGTCCTCTCAATATTAGTGGTAACTGGTTTTGTTTTATGCTTTGAAGTTGATTTGGCTGGCTATGTGAACATATATATTCCTTATCTTAGGCCCGCATAATTTGTTCCTGGTCACCATCTTGGGGATGTCAGGTCATTGCTGGAAGTTCACGTGCAGCTCTCTGCACATAAAGGGCTACAGCCCTCTGTTCTTTTGTGCACTCTCTCTAGTCTATGTTTGTATGTATTCAAGTACATGCTACAGTGTGCTGGGCAAGAGCCTCTGCATAATGTTCCTGCCGATATCCAAAATGGAGACTCTAACGTTAAAGCGTGTGAAGTAAGATATTCTATACTTAATCTATATTTAAAACAAACAATTTCATCACACGGTGCCTATTAATTACTTCCTTTGGGGTGTTAGAAAGACCATATAACCAGGATTTAAAGGGGAGTTCCCATTGTTAAAAGGTTACTGCTGAGTGAAAGGCATTTATTGGGGTGGACATCAAAGGTTTGGGGGGAAATCAAGTCTGACAAGTTTGCACTGTGCTGGGAACAGCACTAAAATTTAGGCATTGGGCTAAAAGCTCTCCACTCTTTTTTTTCTTAGTATAAACACACTCCCCATGGCCTATTTTCTCCATTCTCATCCTCCATCTTTATCAAGTCAGTCTCTTCTGTGAAACTTTGTCTGGGAAAAGACACTTAATATGCTGAACACATTCACTTTTTCTCATTATTTAGTCCTGGCTGGCCTGGAACTCACAGGTACTCACCTGCCTCTGCCCTCAAGGGCTGATATTAAAGGCTTGCACCATACGCCTGGTTTAATAACCTTATCATTAAGGAAACCACTTAAAGATTCCTTTCCACATCCTTTCCCAACTTTGTAATGTTTCAAAATCACTTCCCAAAGACTCAAAGGGCACGCGCGAGCCTTCCCCTTGGCCCTCTCTCCCTGCACTTACCTGCCCGCAATGCTTCAGTTCAAGCCCCTTTCAAATAAACGCAGCCATAAACTGAAAGTCCTCCACGTTTCCACACCACCTCCACCCCAGACACCACGGCGTTTTGGTATTTTAAGATTTGGCTAAAATACTTACTTTATCTTTAAAAATGCAGTCATTTTTAAGTATCGGCTGGCGGACTATCATTTTAAAGAAAAAGCACAATAAATACTGACAGAAAATATGCGCCAAGAAATTAATCACCTGTTTTGAAATATTTTTTTTTAATTACAGAGGTAAGGAAGCAAGCGTAAGGCTTTAAAGGTGACACTCAAACGTTTATTAGAAAGGCTAAGAAGGCTGACAGTGATCACTGTATCCACGTGGTTGGCCACTGGAAGCTCTGACTGGCTTGGGGATGTCGTCAGCGACAGAAGCTGTCTGCTCTATTTACATTGAAAAGTAGTAGAATTGGCAATTCCTTCAAAATAAAGTGTTATCTGTCGACGAGGGCGAGAACCGGCTTTAGGGTTCCGGAATTCCATTCCTGATTGGGCAAGTCCTGGGTGGAAGGTGGGAGTTTTCAAATGCCGAGATTTTCCCTTCTACAATAGGGGCTTCTGCCGTGACAGACACACAGAGTTTAACTTGTACCTCAGGGATCCTAGTTTCCGTGAAACTGCGTCCCGGAACACTCTAGGGTCAACACCTAAGGATCGATTCGAACCTGCTGCACTCAGAACCGGCGACCCGGCTGGAACGGATCCTTCATCAAACACGTTGTAAGAGAAGTGGGATTTGTGAAGCAGCCCACAGAATGTCACATTCACAGCCACTCGGAGCGGCTCAGAAACAAAGGGACAGAAATGGATCCTCGGGTGAGGGGCTGCCAACAGGAAACTACAAGATAAAACAGGAAAACTAATTTCGCAACACAGAGAAGGAACCGGCAGTGTCTTCTGGCCCGTCTGGCATTCCGTACAAGGAGCTCGCAGGGCCTTCGCCGGCCACGCCCCCAAAGCGAAGCCTGTCTGCTGTGATGCCTGTTGTGCGGGCGCCGCCGGGGCCTTACCGCGGACGCGCCTAAAGCCGGAAGTAGAAACACTAAGGACCGGCACCGCCGGAGCCACCTCGCGAGTGGGAGGAGATGCACATGCGCAAAGGCCTCCAGCCGCGCTTAAATACCGTCATGCGGCCACCAGCGGCCTTTTCCCCTGCCGCCGCCGAGTTGCGCGGAGGCGGAGCCACGGGGTGAGTCCAAGTTAAACGTGGAGGGTGAAGAGTGTCTGCTTTGTGTGTTTTAGTTTCGAATGCGTGAGAAGGTGCCCGGGGTCTAACGAAAGCGCTTTACTGCTGGTTTTGTCTTTCAGTGCGTTCAAGATTCGGCCTCACCCGTAATCCACCGCCATGGCCGAGGAAGGGTGAGCTGGGCGTGGGCCTCCAGCGGGGCTGCGCGGGTCTAGGTTTTTTCCCGAAGTCTCTGTGCACCCTGCTGAGGATTCTAACCTCGTCTTTTGCTTTTCAGCATTGCTGCTGGAGGTGTAATGGACGTCAACACTGCTCTTCAAGAGGTGCTGAAGACCGCCCTCATCCACGATGGCCTCGCACGTGGCATCCGCGAAGCTGCCAAAGCCTTAGACAAGTACGTGTCTCAGTCTCAATACTGTGGGTTGTTGCAGCCGGAACAAAGACTGCAGCCAAGGGAAGAAAGCGTGTGAAGTTCATGCTGTTAGCACAAAAGTTCTGAGTGGCATCCGTTCGACAGGAAACCTAGGAAAAGGTACCAGCTCAGATCTTTTCTAGCCCACTTCAGATGCGTGGGTTGCTGTGTGGACTGGGGTTGAGCAGGAGTTGGCGAAACAACTACAGTGTTTGAATGATGACTTGGATTGTCGGATACCCCTTCACCCCCTTCATGGGTGAGACAAAACAGCCTGACAAACCTGTAGTTTGGGGGGTTGATCGGTTTTTCTGAAGGACAGAACGGAGAGCTTCATTAGCTGATTTTCAAATTAACGTGTTAAATAGACAGCGCTGTTGCAGCATCTGAGAAGTTAATCATCAAGGATGCTTGAACACGCGGGACTACTTCCGTAGTGGTTATTAATCTTAAGCATGCATGTTTATCTCGGCCTGAGGAAAAGCCGGGGAATTTTAGCTGTTTTATTCGTTGACGTTTAACTTGAGCGTGGATTCAGGTGAACTCAGATAACTGCTTGTGAATCTTGTATAGCCCCTTCTGTACGGTACTGTCTTGCATCAACTTTTTATTTAGCAAAGCATGAAAGTGGTCATGGTTTCCTTAACTTCACCTGAGAGAGATTGGTGTCTGACGGAAACGGGCCAGTGACTACAGGTAACTAGGCCGCAGGTGAAATTCAGTAGTTGCTGTAAGCAGTTTGGTATGCGTTAGCGCCTGCTGCTTTTTAGGTCTTCGTAGTAGAGTCGGTGAAGATGCCTTGAACTTGGGCCTTAAGTGTGATTTCACCTTTGAATTTTGCATTTTAGGCGCCAAGCACATCTCTGTGTGCTTGCATCCAACTGTGATGAGCCTATGTATGTCAAGTTGGTGGAGGCCCTTTGTGCTGAGCATCAAATCAACCTGATTAAGGTGAGTCCTTTTCAGAGAGGTGCCGTGGTGAGCACGGGTTGATTGAAGTGGTAACTTGTGCACCTAGAGCTGGATAGCTTTCAATTCACTGTGGAATTGATATTTGGTGAGCTGTACATGATGACAACTGGCTCCCTCTACCGAACAGCTATGAGGAAATTACCATGTCACTTCTGACACAGCCACCTTTGGGGTTTAATTTTTAATTTTCAGTAGCCCTAACCCCTGCTAATAATAGGTTTTGTTTTTGTGTAGGTTGATGACAACAAGAAACTCGGGGAATGGGTAGGCCTCTGTAAGATTGATCGAGAGGGAAAGCCACGGAAAGTAGTTGGTTGCAGTTGTGTAGTGGTTAAGGTAAGTCTGGCTTTCATCTTTTTTGAAATGTTAACAGCCCATTATTGGGAGAAAAACTCAGCAGAATTACAGATTCTGTACTTGAAGATAATCCATAATTTGAGCCAGCCAATTAATCTGCTTATTTCAATGTGCTTCTGCAGATATTTAGAAAAGGCGGGCAATAGTGACGCCATGTTACGAGCCTTAAGGACAGCTGAAGTCCTTAAGGTCCCTGAAAATGGCTACAGTATTATAGTGCTGGGAAGCACTTAATCCTGGAATAGTTGTAGTAAAAAGAATTTAATATTCCATAAATAATTTTCATCTAATTTTTTTAAGGACTATGGCAAAGAATCTCAGGCCAAGGATGTCATCGAAGAGTACTTCAAGTGCAAGAAATGAATAAATAAAAATTTTGGCTCATTTTTTTTCTCCTTGTTTTTTGTTTGCTGCTATAAAATGGGTCTTTCTTTGTGCAGGTGGTTGTTAGCAAATTAGAAGCATTCTTTAAAAAGTAAACTATTTGGTCTTAGTTTGATTAAATGACTATAACTAGGATTGGGGTGTAGGGCAACAAAAAGAAACCTAAAATTGGGTTTGCCATGATATTTCTCATGGACAAAGTGTCCAGGGCATTGGAGTTTATCAGTGGGGGAGCACAGGCTTAGCACACCCTGAGAAGCCAGGGCTACAGTAGGGACCTGGCTTTGTGACGGTCCTGACTTGCTTTAAGAGTTAAAATTCTGGTGAGAGCAGACATGGGTGGAATTTACTTGCTTCTAAGGATGAAGCTGGTTCATCCAGTACTGAATGGTTTGAATGGGTCAAATTGTGATGGCATGGGAAAACAGGAGGAAATGAAGGGATATTTGAGTTAAAAATACTTGAGCTTAGATTTGGGACTTCAGGTCCCTGGGGCAAAAACTAAAATGGTCGTAGTTTACATCCCTGGTATATTCAAGGTAGCATCCATCCTCAGAGTTGGACTGCAACTGCTTAGATGTAGAAACCAGCCACAATCCTAGAGTTCTTTGCATTTTTGTATGAGACATCACAATTTTAGGCTAAGGTTTTAGGATTTTGTAGAAAGGAAAGTGATTTCTTGTGACCTTGTGTTTCCTTAGGCCAACTTCCAGTGAAGATGCAATATCTGTAAGGACAGCTCACCAGTTTTTAGTATTGCTGGCTGATGGAGATTGTGACCTAACAATTAGACTGGAGAGACATTTGCTTTGTATTTGAGTCCCTGGCTTGTTAGAAATTCATGCTGCCCTGCCACCCTAGACAGGTACACTAGTGCTTTGAAGCTAAGTGCTTCTCAGAAGAGGGAAACCTTTTGACTAAATAGTGACTGTTGATTTTTCTGCTTCTACTTTAATCAAAATTATTTTTGTAGTAACATTAGATGAGGGGGTCACCCAAACTTGGACTTGACCTTCCAAGTGCTTGACATTTACAAGTGTGCTAACAACTGACTGAAGATGGCTTGCCTATGGCGGTCTCATGCGGTTCACAAGTCACACTTAAGTCAGACTTGTCAGAAGGCCCCTGAACCGTTTTGTCCCCCTCCTTCCCAATTTGAGGGAAATTGTATTTGAGGTGTGCACTTGGCACTTGTTTTATACGAGTATTAGCAGGTTGAAGTTGTGGCCTGCAGGGGGCAGCATAAGGCTGCAGAGGTCAGGTGTGAGACCTATCAGTGCAAAAGGATAGACTGGGGTAAACTACTAATTCTTGTGGGAAAAGACTGCACCAGTGGACATTTGAAGATTCAGGAATTCCAGCATAACAGGAAAGTGCTAAAAGTACCAGGTTATCCATTACTTTCTTTTCCATTACTACTTTCCATTAGTGTCGGTTTCAATTGTGATTCTTAGTTCAGCAGGATCTTAGGTTAAATTTATTGACTGATAATTAGAATTAAGCTAATAGGTTTTGTTTGAAAATTTTGTAGTGTTTAATTGCACTGTCTTACACAAATAAATTACAAGTACCTGACTTTTTTAACATTTCTTGAGAAGGTAATGCTGTACCTGGTTTGTAGAGGAGGTTGATCTCAACCAGAGCTCTTGCATCTGCCTTCTTAGTGCTAGGATTAAAAGGCATGTGTCACAATGCTGGTTTTAAATAGGTGCATTTTTGGTTTTTTTGAAACGGTTTCTCTGCAGCCAGGTCTGTCCTAGAACAACTTCATGTGCCAGGATGATCTCAATTTAGAGATCCACCTACCTCTGCCTGTGCACCACCACAACCCAGCCTAAACATCTGATTTTTACTGCTTGGATAGAGGTGGAAGCAGTTTGGTTTTCCCCCACAAAAATGCAAGTAGGGTTGTAGCTCTTGTCAAATCCCTCTGGTCAGTTATTAAAATTCTTTGAAAGGTTTTCCTTTTAAAGATCAATATTCGTACCTTGAGATAATCAGTAAATTTTGGGTATTTTTTATTATGCATACAATATTCTGTCCGTGTGTATGTCTGCAGGTCAGAAGAGGGCACCAGACCTCATTACAGATGGTTGTGAGCCACCTTGTGGTTGCCGGGAATTGAATTTAGGACCTTTGGAAGAGCAGGCAATGCTCTTAACCACTGAGCCATCTCTCCAGCCCCAGTAGGGCATTTTCTTAATTAGTGATTGATGGGGCATGGTTGATGGAGCCACCCTTGAGCAGGCTCTATCAGAAAGCAGGCCAAGCAAGCCATTAGAAGCAAGGCAGTAAGCAGCACCCTTCCATGGCCTCTACATCAGCTCCTGCCTCTGGGTTTCTGCATTATTTGAGTTCCAGCCCCCATATGGTTTTATTTTTTCGGATTAAATTTTCTTTGCTATTTAAAATCTACAAGGGGGCTGAAGAGTTGGCTCAAGGGTTAAGAGCACTTGTTATTGTGGGGGACTTGTTTTTGTGTAACTGCCACATGGTGGCTCACAACCATCCACGGCTCTGGTTCTAGGGTACCTGACACCCTCTTGACTTCCGAAGGCATATGATTTACACACAGACATACATGAAGGTGAAACAGTCATACAAGTAAACATGTCTAAAGAATAACTGCAGTAAGGTTTAAATGAAAAACTACTTAAAGTACTACCTTGACTTGATGTTTTTAATAAGTCACATCACGGACATTTCTGCATCACATTCTCACTCCAGCCATCATATTCTCTCTAGTTTACCTTTATGTATGTGCGGTCTATGAATATGGGTGTGTGCACGAGGAGGCCAGAGTAGGATGCTCTGCATCCTAACCTGTTGCTTTCTGCTTACTCTTGTGACAAGGTCTTTTGCTGAGCCTGGAATGAGGCTGGTGGCCTGTAGTCCCCAGTGATCCTTCTGTCTCTGACTCACCACAGCTGTGCAGGCAAGCACTCAGCTTTTTAAGTGGGTACTGAGGATTTGAACTCAAGTTCTCATGCTTGCGTATTGAGCACTCAAGTCATTTTCCCAGCCCTGTCTTTGTCCTAAAGAAGCAGGTGCATTTGAGGACTTGATCTGGGGCTTAGGCTCAGTTTAAATATTTTTGTCTTTGTTGTAGAATCCACACTCTGTTGCTCATGAAGTCTCGGGGCTGAGCATTTTTGTCATGTGCTTTGGTAGACTGTCAACTGGGATTACTGTAATTGTGTATTGTTAGGAGGGGGCACTGGGAAACAAGCTAAGGGCCTGGCATGCTTGGCTGGTGTCATTGGCAGAATCTAGACTTGAGATGGGCCTCTGTGCACATCCATGGGATACTATCTGGTTGCATTTGTCAAGTTGGGAAGACCTGCCCACTGTGGGTGGTGTCATTCTCTGGGATTATGTACTGTAGACATAAAGGGGGCTGAGTGAAATACGTGTTTGTTGCTGTCCACTTTTCAACTGTAAATGAGATGTTAGCAACTGCTTCAAAGTCTGCTGCCAACTTGACTCTACTGCAGCGATGGCAATGGAATGAACTGTGAGCCAGAAGCTGTGTTTCTCTGAAGTTGCTTTTTTCAGAGCAAGAGGAAAAGAAGCTAAGACACTTAGCAGGGACTGTGCTGCCCAACTGCATCCCCAGTCTGACTACAACTAGAACTTTGAAACTACAATGTATTCCTAGAGGAAAAAGGCTTCCAAGTGAAATATGTTTTAGTTAGGATTTTCCCCTTCACTGTTTTGTGTGCTACATAAGTCACAAAAGGTTCCAGAGCAGTCAAGGGATGTGCTTGGAGATTATCATCTCTACATAGCTCCCTGCAAGCATCAGTTACTATGAGACAGTCTCTGGTGCCCAGAACAGTGCTTACAACGATAGGCACTGAGGTATTTTGTTAGTTAGATGAATAAGGTTGACTAATTTATTTATGGCCTTTATTTTAAGGCTGAATTGCTCAGTCCTTTTTGGACTTTTTATTTTCTCATGTTCCTTTCTCTCGGACAACAAAAGTCAATCTTAGTTTTGGCCTCTTTCATGTTAGTATGGTGCCGAGCTGTCTCAATTTCTCTTCAGTTCCACTCTAGGGAGCAGGGCAGAGAAACATCATATCACAATATGGGGTACATGGCTCTAGGAGTCTGAAAAAATAATTTTAAAAGCTATTTTGAGACCTGGGAATAGTAAAAAGCATGTGAATTCAGGGAAACTTTTTACATCGCAGTAATTTCTTTTTCAAGCCTATTTACTGGGGCATGCCAACAGCACAGTATTTTGCAAGTGGTGTGAATTAAACATTAGACAAATATATTTGTCTTTTTATTGTTCATCTCTCAGCTCAACCGCCCCTCACTAAAATTTACAAATGAATGTAAAAACCCTGTTTATACCTGGTTGACTTGTTAGAGAAAAAGTGAATGAAAGGGAGGCCTGTGATGTTTCACATTGTTCTTGTTAGAGAAAAACTGAATGAAAGGCCTGTGATGTTTCACATTGTTCTTGTTAGAGAAAAACTGAATGAAAGGCCTGTGATGTTTCACATTGCTGTCACCAGGTTAAAAGGAGCAAAATATGCATAAAATAACTGAGATCCCTAGGGGGAAAGTAAACTGTTAACATACAAAACAGCACAAGTTAGAAAACCCAGCTTCTCTCCCAGACTTGAAGCTGGGTAAACTGGGGAATTTCAGGGTGGATATTTTGCTAAATGGGTACATGCAGCTTGCTGGGAGGCACCACACATTGCTGTAAAGTGTCGGAGTTATGCCACTGATTCGCAAAGGAACACACAGATGATTCTTAAGAAAAAATGCTTCTAAGACCTCTTTCAAATGGCTGTAGTTTGAAATAAAGTC